GCGATATTAATATATATAGTGGTAGTAAAAATATCATGATATTTAAATGAAATAAATAAATAATTGCAATTCATGTAGCCTACACGTTTTGCAGGTTCAATCACGATGTTGTCCTTCACCGATTGCGAGAGCAAGAGGTATTGTTACTAAAATATTCACAAATGTAACTAACAAATTAAGGCATAGATACAAGCCGCCGTAACAAATCGAAACTACCACTGCTCTATTTAAGTTACAAAATACCAAAATTCAATTTCTTAAAAGATACTCACGCTCTGCGTAGCAAGAATTTGAAGCTGCGGGTCAGTAGACTCTAATAACTTCTGTACCATCCTGAGGAAGCTCTCCACGAAGAGGTTGAGAGTCTGCGAGTGGCATGCCACGAGGAGCTGGTCCATTGCCTCCATTGCTATAATTACGAAACTGAAAGAAAAGACGAGACATTTTAGAATTAAATACTTATAATTTTCTTGAGTAAAAAACAATATAGACTACATTATCTATGTATAAGATCTATATGTTGTGATCATGATTATTTCAACTCATCTCAAAGCAAAAAAACAAGTAACTCCTATAATATTGATTTCTATTGAATATCAATATGATTTACAACTATAACACTTCTGAACACCGTAGTGTGTCCGATATTGTGCCACTGGCTCACAATTCATGTCACTAAGAAGGGCTGTCGACATGAATTATAATTGCGCATACCTATTGTTAATTTCTATTATTTATTTTTAATTGTTTTCTATTTTTTTAAGCGTAATTTACTAACATAGTCCTAAGTTTTCAATTGTTACTAACAAAGTGGATCAAAGTCCTTAAATAAAAATTATTATTATTATTATTAAAACAAACAAACGTACACACCTGATCACAACCATTTAAACACACAATTTAAAGTCTAATATATTCAAGAACAACACAAGCACAAATTAGAAGAGTGCATCCCGAGAATCAACTAGAGAAGTACATTTGAAGTTTGTCATTGTCTAGTATAGATTTGTTTGTTTAGTACATATTTATTATTCGGCCTACATATCCAATTAAACCTAAGAACAGGTACAGGGTGGTTATTTTGTCGCAGAACAATTTTTAAATAATGATTTATATTTATAAATACAAACTTTTATGATACCTAGCCCGGGGGTCGATTCAGAATCTTAACGGTTGATAAGTCAGTTGTCGACCGATTCGATGTGATATCGTAATACTTGTTTTTATTTTTATTCACAACACCCGAATCGCAAGTCAAACTATCGTATTCGAAACCGAACCGAAACGACGTCACACCCGTACGATTACTCGAACTTCTCGTTACAACAGTTATCGAATGAAAGTTACTGTGGACTACTATATATATATATATATATATAGTAGCCCACAGTAACTTTCAGTAACTTAATATTATATTATATATTGTACATATATATATATATATATATATATGTATTTACTTATTTATTAACTGTATGTTTTTTTGTATATGGGAGCAGCCCACATTATCAAACGTCTATTATTTACAAAGCAAGAATGTAATATCGATGACTTAGGGTCGTATTCCAGAACTGTACTCAATGCTCAAGTCAGGACATGAGTATGATTCAAAGCACTAGAAATCATACTCAAGTCCCTGCCATTAGGGTCGTATTTCCAGTGCTTGTGTTGCCAGTGCAATCCTGACTTGAGCATTGAATAGAGTTCTAGAATACGACCCTTACTTTCTCAAACTTACAACAAGAGTAATTTTCAGGAGATGGCAAAACTTTCTATTTATTTCAAATTTCTTGTCAATTGGATTAATTTGAATGCGTATTATGGAGCTAAGAGAGAGAGTTAGGCTTTTATCTGCCCTCCACATATCAATTTTAATTTGACACCTCATGACGACCCTTTACATTGTAGATATACATCAAACAGGTTCCATGTAACATTGGTGATTATCAACAAGGTTACCGTTTAATATTTTTTTGCACTTTACTACACGTAAATGTTTGAATTTTTTTATATCTTGTCTTCTTTTATATTCAGTTTACATAACACAAGCTACGTCTAAGATAAAGTATATATTTACTTTATATCAACAAAAACATAGTATACGGAACTTAGCAGTTAAGATAAGGTGGATTGAACGGTCATGGCTATTTTATTTATTAATAATATATAACAATAGAAGTACATAAGTGTTATTTATTTATATACTGCACGTATTGCTGGTTTTGTGGTAGATTTATTTTTTAATACAAACATGTTTTTAATACAAGCGATGGAACAAAGAAATCGCACGCCTAATGGTAAGCGACACACCTATCCATGACAGTTGCAGTGCCACTCAGAGCTTTAAACAACATGATTCAAGATTTCTTGAATCCACTGGTCATTGTAATTCCATTGTATTATAATGCTACACACATGCAACTAGATTTTAACAGAATGACAAATATCATCATAAGATGAACTAGATTGTTAAAATCTAGTTGTAATGACAGTTGAGTCTCAGTAGAATGGGCAGTGATGGCATTCATTCATTCAATCATTAACAAACGATGTTGCTTTACTAAAATTATCATGGAAATTACTATGCATATAATAATTTTTATCTCCTTCAATCAGCAGTCGAATGTAGTGGTCAAATTAAATTAAGGTATTTTTTATGTCACATAATTAGTGGACCACATCATGCAATGGTCGTTGAATGGTAGACCAATGGCTATATAACTTTTAGTAGTATTTAAATTTTTATTGAATTGATATTAAATTATTTTTATGTGAAATTACTCCACTAGTTTGTTATAATTATTAATACATAGATCGTACACTCAGAAAAAATTCCTCCGGTCGGATTCGAACTCACGTCTTCTAGCATACCGTGTTAAATACAATGAATAGGGACATCTCTAGCCGGGCCTGGTAGCTGTAAAGGTATCTAACTGGGTGACGAAATATCATAGATTTCGCGTAGATGGCGCTACGGCTAAAAAGTCGATGCAAGCACATAGAAAAATTCGTGAGGTTCGCTGGTTCGTTCCGTGGCTTAGTTGGTACACAGTCCGGCACGGTATGCTAGAAGACGTCGGTTCGAATCCGGCCGGATCGAAGGAATTATTTCTGAGTGTTCGATCTTTGTATTAATAATTTTAGTATTAATAATTTTAGCAGAATACCAAAGCACAAACTCCTGGCATCGATTTCAAATTAGTGGACTTGGGGCCCTGAGGGACACTGCCATTGCGCCCATCACCATAAGACAAAAGTTGAGTGCCTGTAACACCGAGCATATAATCAGAAATAGAGATGAAATAAAATAGTACAGCGCCAACAACTGACCTGTGTGTACGTCTCCGTATATTCCAAAAATATTCTGTATTTATTGTAATAAAGAACTCTAACAATGGGGGGCTGTTCCATTCGGTGGTGTGGGAAAAATAGCAGAACACCTAATTACAAAACAAACGAAATCACATTAAATATGTAATTTTTCAATTTTCGTCCATTATAGCAAAGTTCAAGTTAAACTGGTCGATTTGAAGTGAAACAATTGACGACACCCGTCAGTTATTTCGAAGTCGGGTTGGCCAATACTAATACTTACTACATAATCACCGTAATGATTTGGCAGAATAGTTTTCAAACAAACTAAATGACATTTCGTCTCTATTTCTAGTTATATACTCAATGGCCTGTAATTATCAATCTGTTTATCTATTATAGATATGTACATATATTGTAGCTATTTTTTCTTTTCAATCGATTAATTATTGTACTACCAATTATACATGTTAACAATTTTCCATAAAGGCATTTGTTCCAAGTAACTCTTTGACTATAATTAATGTACTATATTTCTAAACAAGACGGTTGTCTGGGCAGTTAGTAAGGGCAGACCGAAGTAAACTTATTACGACTAAATTTAGGAAGTTCTAAAGAAAGGCCCGGGCAAGTGTGCCTTTAACCGATGAGCTGTATGAAAGCTTTGATACGAGTTAATGAGACGAAGGATGTATGTCAGGATCGTAGCAAGTAGGAGGCTGTGGTCCCTGGCTACCCCGATGAGAAAAGGGCGTGAAGTGTATGTATGTATGTATGTATTTCTAAACATCTATAATTAGGTGTAGGGAAACATAATTTATATTTACGTCGATTACTTTCAACGTATTCAAATAATAAGACGTGTTTTAGACGACTTAAAAAAAAAGGAGGAGGTTCTAAATTCGACTGCATGTTTTTTTGTATGTATGTTACGCGATAACTCAGGCGTTAGTGAACTGATTTTGGTGATTTATTTTTTTGTTGGACTGAGGGTACGTCAGTAGTGGTCCCATTTAAATTTAAATTTGAATAGGTTAATGGAAAGTTTCGCGCACTTTCCGGTAACCGATTTCAATAAAACTTGGTAATTATATGTAATTCCACGAACTTTTGAAGTCGGTTTTTTTAGTACACTGTACTGAGATTATTTACAAATAAAGTAGGCTGTAGGCAGCAATGATCGACATTTTAAGGAGTGTGTATCTTTATTTGTTTGTAGTCAGTAGTGTTAGTTTACTGGAGAAAATTATCCTCAAGAAAGATTATACTATAGTATGTTTCATAAAAAAGCTATTATAATTATAATTTCTCTAATTCTCCAGTAATATACACCAAAAATCCACAAATTAAGAAGAAAGAAGCAAAGCGCTTTCCGGCAAATAAGTGGACATCAATGACATAAATATGAAGTGCTCCGGGCTTTCTAGTCACCCGAACAAGGAACGACGAGAGTGGAACTAAATTTTAAGCAAAAAGCAAGGCTTACCCATGTCTTCTCCGATAAATATCCCTAGAAGCCTTCTGAAAGAGATATTCTCCAATTCTATCCAGCTTCTCTGGACTGGACAGCGAGTAGAAGGTCAGCTTCTCCATGTTCGCTTTGACCAGGCCCTCTTGAGGCGACGCGGGGAATATGTTGTCGACGAGGCGCTTGTACCGCGGCCGGAGCGCCGAACAGCACCCGCAGCAACCTGAAAAGGAAAAAATTGGGTTATACGACGTTATGACCCTTTGGTACGACACTTATGAAAGAAAATGGACTTAACGGAATTACAGACCGACAAAGTCCAGGAAAACCTAAGGGACCGTGGTATTTGCGATTGGTAGGAGCAGGCCAAGAATCTGAAGGACGTGTCAAGGGCCCTACTCTCAAAGCACGAAAACGAAAAGACGTTTGAAACTGTCAAATCGCGTTGTCATGCACTCTTAGTTCTAGCCCCGATCAAAACTCAAGTCTGTAGGTGATCTGTTGGAACTGAGCGTAACTACGAATTTCGTGCCCTGAATCGGATGTCGGAAGATTCAGGTCACTGCAGTACCGAAGTTAGTTTTACTTTTTTAACTAAACTATATCATCCCTTACAACACTAACGAAAGCAACTGAGACGAAAATGAATTTATTGACAACATAGAAGACGCAATTATGCATCAAACTATGTAAATAACTTTCTGTCATAAGTAAGTTCTTAGGATCACAGAGGGAGACAATATTTCTTAAGGACCATTTTACAACCTGTGACTTTATTTATCAATCTTTTGAGTTCTGAAGATAATCAAAATATAATAAGAAATTTACAATTTTTGCGTCAGAGCTCGCAATGAGTGCGACGTGGTTTCCATGACAACGCTGTGAACTTCCCTCGGTGCGTGAAGGGTTTCATAAAACTATTGGACGCGGAATCGGCTCAAACTGGTCACAAAAACCTTTATGCCCCTGTAATAAGGATGTAAATGACGTCATTCGCATCGCTTCGGCACGAACGACGGAACACGCTATCGGTCGATGACGAAACCTTATAACTATAGACATAATTTTTTTATCAGTTAACACCGATTCGGTTTACTTTGATAAAACATTATTAATATTTTTTTGAAATACACGAAACAGTATGCCTTATACAGACCTTATACCTTTGTATCAACGGTTGATGTAGACGATAATATTATTATTTAATAATAATTTAGGAGCAGTAGAGCTCATTGTGAAAAACTTTGTCAAGGGAAGTACTGCCACCTTTCCCGTTTCTGCCGCCAAGCAGTAATGTGACCATTACAGCGTTTCGATTTGGAAGGATAAGGGCGCTGGTGAAATTACTTGTCAACTTATTCTGTCTCAGAGTGGCGAGCGCACGATGGCAGTGCCCCTTAGGGTGCTAAAAGATTGACTGCACGTTTGTAGTTAACGCGTTCAGCCGTAATTTAATTTCATGCAGTCACGGTCTGGGCTGTATGAAGTTGATTGCGGCGCATTGACTGCAAATATGCCCAATCTGTTACCAGCTTAGGACCTTTCCGATTTAAAGCTCTGAGTGGCGCTCTGTTATGGACAGGCGTGTCGCTTGCCACCAGGCGCACGACGTGTTCGTCCCGAAAATAAGTGGACTCTTGGAACAAGTAAGCTCTAGCAGCAAATTCTGCTTCCTAGACATCCCATTCTAACTTAATGCCAATTTTAATGCTACATAAGTATCAACTATAATGATCTCGTTATTTCTTATCGCAATACCATAATATAATAATAGGGAAAAACGTCTTTTCCCCGTACTTGGACTTGATTACTTGTCCGACCAAGCCATTGTCGCTCACATTTAAAAAATTACAAATTTAGTATAAAAATAACAGGTTGAATTATGGTAGCAATGTTCATAAGAAGTACTGCCCACATATATAAGAACGTTTCATTTGAATAAGCGATCGAGAAAGATTACGTATGGCTCGGTGAAGTGGGTTGTGGGGTCACTGCCCTTGTGTGGTGCATACGACTTGAGATAATTTTGCAAAACTTTACTAGATACAATTAGCCAGAATATTGAACAGAATAACTTTTTAAATATTTTTAGAGGATATAGCATTATTTCTAATCTTAATTTCTAAAATATAGCGAGAATGCAAATCAACACACTGCATATTTAATATTTTCACAGCTTCCGAAATTACAAATATTTTGTACTACGATAATCTCAGTACAGAGTACTAAAAAAACCGACCTCAAAAGTATGTGGAATTACGTCTATTTGCTAAGTTTCATTGAAATATCCCCTAGTTCGCCACTATACAGGACTTGACACTGGAGATAATAAAAATAGGTTCTCACTACGACACTACTCAAAGTATATCGAGAGAAAAACGCCTTGAATTGGAGAAATAGCAAAATCAACTAAATAATTGCTAAAAGTAATTGCTCCTAAATTAAAGTTAGGCGCTATTTATAAAAATGAATCTTCATGCGTGAACAGCCACCCTTTGAGGTGGATGATTTTCTTCAAAATGAAATGGGAAACTATGGAAATACCCCTTTCCAATAAAAAAAAGAATCATGAAAATCGGTTCACAAATACCGGAGTTATCGCGTAACATATGTACATACAAAAAAAAAAACCAAAAAAAAAGAACATACAGTCGAATTGAGAACCTCCTCCTTTTTTGAAGTCGGTTAAAAAAGAATGCCCATAATCGTCTTTTCATTTCGATTAAACGGGATACATCTCTGCTATATTTTAAATCATGTGCGTTTGGTGTTCTGCTAAAAGATAAGCCACTAGCCTTGTTAGTAGCTAGCCACATTATAGAAGCTATAGCAGGAAGACATGATGGTTCTGTCATGGAACATTGGACAGAGCAAGTCAAGGGCGTAGCCCGTAAATAATTTTGTTTGCACTGTTTTCTACTAACCTTGTTCTAAGTTCTTTTACGAACATACTATGGATATTTTAAGAATTACTATAATTATTTTATGAACTTATTTTATAATAATACAACCTTGGCATCAGAAACACAAAGACAAAAACAAATAACGTACAGAACGGAAATATGAAGCATTCCTGTAACTTCAACTCGCGCCGATAGTTAGTATATACTGCATCATTAGCGGAAGTCAGGGTCACTGTCGTATTAAGACGTAATTAGGAACGCAGTAAAATGTTACGACGGCTGGTGGACACAAGTAAAGATCAAATTTCTTGGTGTTTTACTATTCATTTACAAAGCTTTGTATTAAAAATGATGTAATGACGATAGAGAGAAAAGCTTCGTAGATTTGGTCAAGTGAAAAGAATGAATGTTGGTAGATTGTGAAGTAATTTTGATGATTCGGTTTTTCTTGGAAAGAGGGTATTGGTCTCATATAAATTTGAAAAAATATTCCACCTCTAAGAGAGGCAAACTAGAGGATGAATCCGATTTAGCGCACTTTCCGTTAACCGATTCCAATAAAACTGCCAAATAGATGTAATTCCAATAAAAAAACTCGATAAGCAAACTTAAAAAGTTATAATAAAAAAACAAAATGAAAATACATTAATTAAAAGAAGTAATATTAGTAACAAGACAAATTATAATAACTATTACTACCCATAATAATATTTTATTTTATTTTTGTATGATATGATACAGTAGCTGTGGGAATTCCCAAGACTGTACGCATGTGAGGTTTTCGATTTAATCAATAAATTAAAAAGAAATTTACTGGAGAGAGAAAAAAAGTTTTTCCAAAGATGGCGGATTTTTGTCATCGCACATTTTGTAAATTTTGTTTATGTTTTAAATTACGTAACCTTTTAAGCTTCTTAATTAATTGTTACTTAAACAAATTATTTAAAAACAAATGACGGTCCTTCTCTCAGGCGCAATTTATATTGCCGCGTTACGGAATGAACGGACGATGAATTCCTCGCCTCAAGTCAGATAATTTTAAATCACCTCAGTTATGTGTCGATAGTGTAAATGATAGGATTTTGTACGTATGGTATTGTACTCAAAATTAAGCCACTAGACTTGTTAGTCGAGCTACTATTCAACTGCCATTGTTATATTTTGATATTCTGCTCTTCAAGGGCGAATCGATGACACGCCGATGGCGTAGAGTATTAATATTGTTATAATTTTGTTTACGCTACACAAATTACAAAAAAATCGCTTCCATTTTGGTTCGCGGCAATGTAAATTCAGT